AAAGAAAGTAGATATTGGGGTTTTTCTTATAGTGCATGCAGGGACAAATTAGTAATTTTATATTGCTATCGAATCTTAATTCGGAATTTAGATTTTAGAATTTGGATATATAGGTATGTTATCCTCGTTTGAAAATACGTGTATGATAAAAATATATGATATTATTGCTTTTGACATTATTTTAAGCATAACAGCAAAGTAAATTCAGTGAACATTTTTGTAGCGAACATTTTTAAATAATGAAATAAAAATTTAAATATTTTTATTAACGTGTTACATTAGTAAATGTCACGTCAGTAAATTTAGAGTGACTAGGACCTAAACTTTCTATGTACAAAGAAAAAAATGTAAAAATTGATAATATAAGTAATTATAATAATATTTTAAAATTAATTATTAAAATAAAATAAATCGGAAATAGAAGGGATAACTAGCGTAGTTTACTCTTTTCTATATTTAAAATAATAACAATTTAAAAAATCTATCAAAGGAAAAGAAATAATTATGAGGATATGACGCTTGTATTTTGTTCACCCAACTTTTAAAACTTACAATAAAAACATTAGAATTTTAGTTTGTTTTCAGTAAGGTCTCTGTCGTTTACTCTCATTATTTTTTTGCTAACGTGGCTGTAACACCTCAACCCGTATCCGAACCGGATACGAATCCGAAGTGCCACAATAACTAGTCAAAACACATACTTTTATAAAATAAACCATAGCAAATTTAAAACTTTATTCTATAAAGAAATTCTTTTACATAACATGTTAAACCTTAACAGACTCCATCAGAGCGTACATATTTAATGACTTAGTTACATGCCAACATACTAAATTATATGACAAGACATACTTTAAAAATATTTATGATATGAACTTTGCGCAGAGATATGCTGCTTTACGGATCCGAAGCTTGATCTTCTGACTTATCCACGCCTATGTGTAAGACACTTACACGTTAAGTCATAGACTTAGTGAGACATGTAAATACATAAAGTAAACTAACAAATGCATGAACATCTTATGTAATACACATTATACTTATATATATATTGAACTCATCACTAACATGTTTATTCTTACTTATTTCCTTGTCATTAATTCAATTCCATCATATGAGCATATATTGAACATGAACGTATAATATAATTTCAAAACACAACAATACATGAATAATTACTATGATCATATCATACATAACCATATAACATCTCATCTCACCATTACACATATGCACTTGTTACCATTATTATCATATGATCCTAACTTATCACTTATACATATCACATATCACATATACCATTTCACGAGAAATACACGTATCATTATATCAAATTATGTTTTCTTTTCAAAGCCCATGCACACTATTGAGAACTTAAGGTATGTGAGTACATAGAGGTTGTGCACAATGTTGTCACCACAGCTCGTATAAATCTCACTAGGGACGCGTAGAATTTATCCCGTAGGACCACTATGTCCCGAAGGACCACTGTGTCCCGAGGACCATTATGCCCCGAAGGACCGCGTAGACCCTCGACTCTTGGCATGCCAACTATACCTATAGCTCTCATAACACATGACATGGGCATTACCTTTTATATCTTTTCACATATTCACATAGGCACATAGTTCACTTTCACATAGCATATTTCCATGTAATTCACATTCACTTATCACATAGTTTTTCACTTTTACTTATATGCCTTTTCACATAGCTCATAGTCCTGATTCTTATCTCATAACACATGTGTTGAGTTAATCGATCGATGGAGTTGGCCAAGAGGGGGGTGAATTGGCAAATAAAAATTTCGGTGGAAGCTTTGTAGAAAATTGAAAAGATTTGCACAGCGATTTAGAGTGGTTCGACTTTCTCAACCAAAGTCTACGTCCACTACCTTAGCTATCCACACTAAGGATTTTCCACAAATTCACTATTTTGTCTTTCTTTTGAGGACAAAGAGTAACCTTACAAATCCCTCAATAATTATACCCCAAATTCTTGAGAACACTCTCTCCCAAAGAGAATAATACAAATTTTGCAAACTTACAAGAAAATCCTCACAAGGCAAGATGTTTGCACAATTCTATAACAAAGAAAGAACACTCAAGAATAATACAATTGAGCACAATAAGTGTTCTTGAAAGAAAAAATGAATATTGAATGAAATAGGCTTGAAAATGCTCAAACTTGAGGTTTAATGCTTTCTCTTTGATTATATCTTGATTCTAGTTGATTGTTGTTTATTGTTATTGATCAATGGCTTCTAAGCTTGTTTAAATACACCTTTAAATGATTCTGAATGTTGGGGATGCTTAGTGGAGTCAATAGAGCCGTTTAAGTGTGAAAATAATTAATTAAAGCAATTGAGAGCGTCAGTGCATCGATGCATACCCATGGTGCATCAGTGTAAAATTCAAATATTTTGACCGTTGGACCCTTAGTGCATCGGTGCACTAAGAGTGCATTGATGCATCAAGTGCATTCGATGTTTCAAAATAGCCAGAGTGCATCGATTGGTGCATCGGTGCGTGGATTGGTGCATCGATGCATCACTTTGAAAATTTGACTTTTAGGCTTGATTTTGGTTCAAAATACTGTGAAAAATGTTTCAAAAATATATTAAGTATAAAACACAATTTTACACATTTAGTAAGGTTTGAAATTGATCTTGAAAGACTTGGAGTAATATTTTGATATTCGATTAATTAAATCGAATATACTTAGAAAATCATTTGTAAAATCTTAAAATTCATTTAAACATAATTTGTTACATCGAAACACAAAAATGTTTTCAACAACATGTTTTCATACAATCCCTTCATTCAATTATCACATACATAACATATCATATGGCATTCTAATAGAAACACATATAAGTCATATTACTTTCACATATATTTTATCCTATATCTTATGATCATATGACCTATTATCATAAATACATGCATTTACATAGTTCACGTATAAAGATGCATTCAACAATTAGACATATGCATTTACTCATACACAATACATCTAGCACCATATCACTACATGTTTATGCTTTAGTACTCATATCACATAATATCGGAATTATACTCATCGCAAGTCTTAATTCCTTAACATAACATACACTTAATAGCATGTACTCACCTGGTCACAATGAACACTATCAAGTTCTTGTTTTTTCTTGCGAATCTTACTCTGACGACCTATCCGAACTTTGCTTTCGATCGATGTCTACACGATCATGTATTTATACTATCAGTATCCAATTGATATACTATAATATATCACTTCTTAGACTGAAAGAAATATTTATTCCATTTCCCATTGAAGTGTATCGGTACATTCTATAGTGTATCGATGTATCCCTTAACATGTGCATCGATGCACTACCCATGCATCGATACACAAAATCACCTTCGATGTTTTAATCTTAAGGGGGTGCATCGATGCACTCCTTATGCATCGATGCACTAATTGCATTCGATGTTTATTTATTTGAGAGTGCATCGATACACATTGAAGATGCATCGATGCACACAACCCAAAAATTCCATTTTAAGCATGAAATTAACTCTCTTTTCATCTCAACTCTTCATCTTTCACCCCCTTTAATAATCCTAACTTTCATACACACACTTAAACTCATTTCTACTCAATAATCACTTCTTTAAACTCAACATCCTATACTTTATATGGCATTCAAGAATCACACTCAAATTCCAACATGTTCTAATTCCAATTCTAACACCTTATACTTCTTAATTCCACTAATGACAAGTCAAATTTGGTCTTGAAATCTAATTAATATCTTTTTATCAAAATTTAACTTATTCCCTTCTTTTCTTTAATTCCATCTAACTCTCTTATCCTTGAATTTTAAGGTAATTTAAGCTTTCCTTAAGCTTAAGTATAATCTAAAGAACAAAACCCAACTTAAATTTCAACTAATAATCAACTAATAAGAAATCTCACATTTGCCTTAGACATTCACGTATGAATAAAAAAGGAGGAGAAGAGAACTCTGGAAGCTTAAATTTGCTTCCCACCTTTCCACGTGGGTTAATATATAACCATAACATAATTTAATTATTTTCTTACAAATGACCATCTTATCCCTCTATTTCTCCTTCCTTGCAATTCAATCCTGCTCAAAAATTACAATTAAATCCCTGAACTTTTTACCTGTTTCGAAATTGAGCACCAAGTTTCCAAAATTTATATTTTAGTCATTGACCCGATTGTTGGGATGTTACAGTGGCACCTAACCTCGTCACCTCCTTTAACCCTCTTCTTTTTCCTCTTATTCTCATTATTCTCCTTCTTCTTCTTAATCAACGGTGGACAAATGAGGGACGACGGTGAGGAGGCACGAACGATTGAATTTTGATCGGAATGTTATGAGGACTCGGGCGTTAAGATTTTCCGATGAGATTTGGGGCCCTCACCACGATGAACGGAGGTGAGTCTCGATGAATGGCTAGCGGGGTTTTGGTCGGAATGTGATGGTTCTCCTACAAGTGCTAGTGTTAATGATCACCGACGATGGACGACGGAGATCAAGGATTGGTGTTTGAACGGCCTTCTCGTAATTTGGGATGAACGATGGACGATGAGTATGAATCAAGGATTGGGGTGTGGCCGAGAGGCGACGTCGGTGATGATGATTATGGCGGTGTGAGCCACAACTGACCGGAGGTGGGGTAACCAGAGGTGTGAGAGAAGAAGAAGAAATGGGTTAATAGGGGGTTGACGGGGATTAGGTTCCACGTTAGCAAAAATTAACAGAATGTAACGTCATGGACCTTACTAAAAACGAACTAAAAGTTTGATGATTGTATTGTAAGTTTCAAATATTAAGTGACCAAAATGCAAGCGTCCTAAAAATTTGTGGACTATTTATATACTTTACCCTAATTCTAACGAGAAATCTAAGGCATTTTTTTTTATAAACTCTGTTTTATTTTACTTAAATCTCTTATTCATAATCTCCAGTCAAGCAAGCAGTTGGAGCAGCTCAAAAGCGGGTCTAGAGGAGGAAAAGAGACAACTAATGAAGGCGGACGAGAACGGCGGCGAGATTGATAAAACCCGCATTGCCACCCACTGGTATTGGGCCATAGCAAGCGTAACCCAGTTCGGATTTGCAGTATCTTCGTATCGAAAAGGTTATTCCGGCGACCACCGCTTGATGCCCGTCAAAGCCTTCGGCGTCGCTTCTCTGTTCCTCGGCGCCTCCGCCACTGCATCCATCGCTTTCCTCAAAGCCTCCGGCATTCACAAAGTAATAATCTATGCGATGTCCACTGTCCTCAAATTTTCACTCTCAACCTTCATTATTGTACTTCAATTTTCGTTTGCGTTTTGCGATTTCATTTTTTGAACAGGTCGAAGATCTGATGGATTTGGGTGCGAGTATCAGAAGTGGACTTGGAATTCGTCCGAGGGCTGGGGATAAGTAAGTCCTTGTTTGCCATTCCTTCATGAAGAGCTCTCTGAGTTTCACTTTTCTTTTCATTTAGTGCCTTGAATTTACCTAGATTACAATTTTTTTCCTTACCAGTTTAAACTCTCAATGTTTATCATAAATAATAATAATCAAACAAGTAACTTTACAGTATCGGTCTCTGTTGTTCATTCTCGATAAGCAAATTGTTAAGAGACAAATGTAATCCAAGCTGAACTTAGAATTGCAATTATAACCCTAACAGGTTGCTTGGGAATCATATGTAATAATGCAATTTGGCCCCCTGTTAAACTGTCTAAAACAGGATGGACGGAGGGGTGCTGGAGTGGGATCATACTTTCGAAACTTCCAAATTCTTATATAATCTAGATATTTTCTTTGAATTTTTATTAATTATTTAATATTACAATCCCTGAAAATTTATAATTCCACACACTCTAAATTTCTAATATAAATTCCTAAATTTTTATATTCTAATATTAAATCCTATGTTTGTCCGCAAGTCTCTGGTAACATTCGGAATATCCTTTTAGAAAAGAAACATACCTCTGGCCGGTATGTTAGAAATATGAATGATATTAGTTGAATTTGGAAGTAAATGTCGATTATGAATGCATGAATGAGATGAATATACTCAACATTTTTCTAGATTGATGACATTGCTTATTGTTATTTGTTCTTCATAATAACTTTATAATCCTAGGTTGAGACTCCGGAACATTGAATTATTTGATTCGAGTCCCACCGTTTGTAATCTATATGTTAGTTCTCGTCATACGTTATTCTTGTTTAACTGTTATCTTATGTGGGTTTGTTCTAATTTATTATGGTCTAGATATGGATATATTTCAGTTATCAATTTAATTAATGCTTTATAATATAACTCATCAAGAGATTTCAGTGGTTAAGAAAAATGTTATTTTATCTAAAAGTCTTAAGTTTAAACAGCTACATCTGTAAAGTGAGTATACATTATCAATTATTAAGAAAAATTCTGAACAAATATTATCTCGTAATCACGCCGTCCATTAAAAAATTATGCTTTGTAATGATTAATTATGTTGATACCGTGATGGTTATTCAAATATGTATTTTTAACAGTTATAGTCATAATCATACTTCGAACTTCAAAAAAATTCAAAGATAACTCTCAACCATTCGGCATTTAATACTCATACCCCTGACATCTATAGTGTTCAAACCTAAGACCTCAAGAAATAACAATTCTTTTATCATCGAGATCACTTGATTTGTGCTAAAGCCACTGTGTTTGAATCAGGGCGGATGAAACATAGGGAGAAGATATTAAATTGCCATTAAGATTGACACTGGATCAAGAATAAGCCATAAAAAGAAACCTGTAACAAGTATCATAGTATTGAAACTCTAAAAAGAAGATACTAGAATCAGTTCTTTGAAGACAGCAACATTGTACAGAAGCTACAACCTCCAAGCCCACCAATTATCATTGTATGCAGGTTTGATCCAATTCTATATAATAAATACTTTAAAGTTTTGATCCAATTATATCATAAACAGTCTAATATAGCACAGTCTGGCCAATACAAATCGGGTCTTGAATAAGATTAATACTTTTACTAATTCGAACGAATCTATAACATGCTGAAGCTGCTACTTGTTATGTTTCCAGTGCAATGCATGCAGAAACAGCATCACTTGATAAACTAGCCTTTGTAAATGGTGATGTCTATGCCATATATGGTGCAGTCCCTGCCACCATAGCAAGAATACAAATACACAACGACAAACATACACAATTATCGAAACTTATTGATGTCTAATACACATACAGATACACGACGACGAATAGATAAATATCTCGAATATTGATGTCTAATATAACATCAATCATTAACATATTGAAACTTATATAAATATAAATATCTTAAAAACTATGGCACAATCGATATACAGAAAAACGAATGGTTAGGTCTACATCAAGTCACATAATTAGGATCAGTTTCATTAGTCCCTATAAATAAAAGTATAAAAAGGTTAGTTACTTTCCTTCAACATGTCACTGACTTAACCTATCATTAAAAAAACAAATAATACTAACAACATGCTCTATTGCAGACCAAAAACTCGAGCCATGCTCCGAAAAGATTTCAGCAGAATACATAATTTGATAAAAAAAATGAATAATATGAAAAAAGTAACTTGAAAGATTCCAGTGGAATTCAATCAGTTGCAAACATCATAAAATACTCTAGAATCAAGTCCAATCAACTTGGAACCAAACAAGCAAATGTTGCGGGGATTTGCACCCGACTAAATGGATAGGGATAGGGATAGGGAACCTCTAGTTCCTGTCTAGATTCTTTTCTAACAACTCTCTAATATAACAATACATGGAGCCTGTGACTTGGTGTTCATATGTCTGGTGATGGTGCATGCATGTGAAGATGCAGGCCGAATCCCATGGACGAGCAGTCTTGATGAGAGCTTCAATATCATATATAAACAGATTTAACATCATTGGCACCGAAGCTTGCAGCACACACCGGACACTTGCGGTGACGCCTTCCGGTGATTTTCTGTACACAAGGGTTGCAGAAGAGGTGGTAGCATTTTGTAATAACAACCTGGAGCATGGACACAAAATCTATAAGCATATTTGGAAATAGATAGGAAATTTGGAATGGAAATGAACAAGCTATAAGCTATGTTAAAACTCGAGCTAGGTGCCAAACATGGAGAATCATACCCCACATCCATGCCTGGATGTGTCAGAAAGGGTACTTAATGAAGAGTCAAATGTAGTTAAATGACACAGAAGCATCCTATACAATTGTCAGCAAAGAAAGAATCACACATTTACGGTTTACCTCTTTCGGTCTGTCCAAACAGATACTGCACTTCAGTATTTCTCTATACTCTCTATGTTCTTGTTGAAGCCTTTCGATCATTGAGTTTCCTTCTGTCTTTGCTCGAAGATGTACTAACTTTCTTCTTGCCACTTCCAATTCTTCCTCAATTCTTTTCTTGTTAAACCTATTACACAAATGAGAAGTAAAAAAACAGACATGAACTCACCCTATGCATTAAAACAAAATGGAAACATAAAAGACTAAAATATTCTATTACCTTTCTCCCTCTATTTCAATCTGCAATTCCACTAACGCCGCTCTACTTTTCTCAATCTTCAATTGTGAGTCCTCCAGTGAATCCCTTGCTTGATGAGATGATCTTCTAACATCTGACAATTGCTTTTGTGTATTTTCCAACAACACTGACTTCTGAAACCTTTCTTCTCCAAGTTTCTGAACCTGGTCTGAGCAGAACCTCAGCTGCAAGAGGAATTGCTCAGGGCTTGAATGCCTTTAGAAGTTTATTTCATACAACATAACTCATTCATAATCATACCTGATCCTCAATTCTTGCAGCTTTCATATTATAAAAATCAAGGGATGCACTGGCTTGCTGAATCTCCTTCTCCATGGCATGTTTCTCCAATAGTAGTGTGTCTTGAAGCTGTTTTGCCCTCAAACCTTCCAAAAAAAGCTGTAAAAGAACACTAAAACAAAATTAAGTTCTAGGGGAGCAAGTGTATAAATCTATACAGACGACCATGGATGCTCTTCAAGTACAAGTTAAATGTCAAGAAATAGAATAAAGAACATAGATCCCAAAGTCCTTCACAAGAATAGGTTAACAAAACCACAGATATTAACCTCTCCCAGTTTCATGATGAGAAAATTCATTGATCTTTAAATTAAATGTCAAGTTTTAATATCACCCTTCTAGCAAATTTCAGTATTAGACTGATAACATCCTTGGCCCTGTTATATTTGGAGGGTTAGGCTATTAAAAAATCTCAATAGAATTCTACATAAATGCATGAGCAGATTACTGGCCAAGGAAATGTCTATGAATCTTCATATCAACAACAAACAGACAAATGAAAGACCAAGCACCAAACAAAACTTCCCAGTTCTATCTCCTTATATGCTTAAGGGAAATGATGCTTCTTCTAATTGTCAGTTTTCTGTGTCGATTTGCAAGTGAAAATTTCTATTCCATGATCAAACATCATTTGATTTGTTATGTAAGCATCCGTGATCATATGCAGAACTGTTCACTTCAGAGTATGAACTTTTTTTTTTTGATAGGAATAACAGGCCTCATTAAAAACCACCTCCTTGATTAACGGAGCCTGAGAATCAGCTCCTTAATCTGCAGAGGGAGGAAGAGTGCCTTAAAAATTTTATTACTCATACGAACTTACATAATGTTAAACAAAAACTCCAAACTGAAAAACACAACAAACTTAACCACTCAAGTAACAACCAAAAACATAAAAACTCAAACAATAAAACCCACTGATAATGCTTAACAATCAACCAATTCCCATCTTTGCTAAACTATCAGCCTCCCCATTACACGCCCTTGGAATCCATCTAACTGAGTGCACCCTATCCGAGATGAGTGATGAAATCTCCTTAACTAAAGGTAAGATAAAAACAGGGGCCAAAGTTGGGGTCAATATCCATTCCACAGCCGACTTACAGTCACTTTCCACAATCAACCTTCCAACAGTAACCCAACAAGAAGACATATAGATTTCAATTCCTCTCTTAATAGCCTTTAACTCAACAACCGGAGGGGGACTTTGACCTATATTTTCTGAAAAAGTCAAAAGAGAGTTGTTGTTCCAGTCTCTCAAAATACCTCTTATACCTCCATTTGTGCCATCAAGTCTAACAACTCCATCAACATTCATCTTCAAAAAATCAACAGGGGGTGGGAACCAGCGAATCACCTGAACATTCTTAGGATTAAGAGCCTGAATACCGTCTGCAAGAGATGGATCACCAATCAGCACATCCTCCTGAATAGGAAACATAGGGTACTTGGCTAGAAACCATTTAGATAACCTGAATCTAGCAATAAAAAACAGAGACATCCTATCAAGGGGAGCACCTTCGGCCACCATTGCATTCCTAGCTTTCCAACTTATTCCATAGTTCCCAAACTACAACACATGAAATAAATAAATGTTGCACTAATTCCACTTGTTCCTTACAAAACGGACAAAGAATTTCATCCCCTGGCTGCATTCCTCTTTTCACCAATTCTTCTCTCACTGTCACTTTCTGATGAGCTAGCTGCCACAGGAAAGCTTCAACACGAG